TTTGCTGCTACATCCCACTGTCCATTTGCAGCTGCAGAAGTGAGCAGATACATGGTGCCAGTTGATATGTATCTTTATTTCTGATATTTCTTATTTTTCTTTCAATGTAACAAGATCAGGAAGAAGAAGGAAAAAAAATGTCAAACTTATCATTGTATCAATCCTCTCCCAAGATAAGTGAAGACTTTTCAGGCTTTTCAGAGTTTAAAAAAAAAAAAAAAAAGGGCACAGGGAGGTGCACAGTGAGGCTTTTTTTTTTTTTAAGAATATATCTTTGTGCAGTTTGTTTTTCTTCTTTGCAGCCTCTCTCTATTAAATCTTTTAACAGAGAAACTCAACCTACAAAAGGATAAGAACAACAGATAATGTTCATAAGCAAGCAACCCTATTTCAGTCCTCTTTACTGCTTGACAGCTCAAGAAAGGCAGCTGCTGCTAATCTTTACTACAATCTTGAGGCATGTAGAAAAAGGAAAATAATTTATTTTTACAGTTTTTAATGGGTCACAAACAGGAGTGTTTATCACAGTATCTTGGCCTGATTCCAGTTTGGAAATTAGTTCTGCTGAGAAAATGCACTCTTGCCTTTTCAGTGATTCACTTTTTGACCCAAATGCTGTTGATGACTGGACAGATACTGGTGAGCTCTGACAGGATATTCATATATTAAAAGTCTTTTATCATAAATTTTCCATCTCTGGTGGCAGCAGTTAGTGTGGGAATGTTAGGAACAGCAGGGTTGTAGCTGCTCCTGTACAGGGTAACCAAAATAGGATGGGAAAAGTGAAGGATTTGCAACTAATGGTACTGACTTTATGCAAGGGATTCTGGTTTTGTTACTGCTAGATGAGCTGAAGCGAAGACAGAAAAAGTGGAATATGTTTAAAAACACTTAGGAAGGATAGAGCCTTTATATAACTTTTTTTTTTTTTCTGAATATTGCTAGTGTTGCTCAAATAAACCTGACTCTCAAGGTGTTTAAATGTGTCTGAGTAGGTCCTAGTGACTCTTGGGCAATGGGAGTACTCAGTAACAGGAGAAAGGAATAAAATGAACTGGAGCATTTTAATCAGAGCTAAACTCTGAAGGAGCCAGGTGTCATTTTGTTCCTGACCACAATTGAAACTTCACAGGCTTTTCATGACATCCCATATTTTCCATGTCTTAACCAGTATCTCATTTTGCTAGCCTCTTTGTTTCTATTTCTAGCTGCCAGGAACAGTAAGCTCAAGTTAGCATTTTCTTATTAATGTCTCATCCCAGTCTGCCTGAGGTCACTTTCTTCACTGACCCGTGTGGTTCTCGTTGCTTTTTTCTTCCTCCTACTCTGTGAAAGTGACTTTTGTTTAGCTAATTCCTGGTGGCTTCCACTCAGAAGTCTGCTTTTGCAAAGGAAATGTGCGTGTGTGGTCATGTCACATCCAGGAGCTCTGATTGAAGAGCAGGGCTCCTCTGTGCTGTGCACTAGGCTTGGCTTTATGCTTATAAAGCTAAAAAGGGCCCTTGGCCGCAGTCTGAAATGCAGCTGCTGAAGTGCAGGTAGTTGGGCTGGAAGATGTTGGCCATCTGGCAGCAGACATCAATAATATTGACTTCCAAAAAAAGTTAAGAAAATAGCTAGATAATTGTCTGTCTAGAAAAACATGGGTAGGAATTCAGATTTTCAGACCTACAGCAAAAGGCATCCAGTTGATTTAAAAAATCCAGCAGGTTTCCTTGCAAGTACTTCACTGGTTTTGTTGAGACCGACAAACAAGCAATAAGAAAAAGCTGGCTGAGCTAATATCATCAGTGTTCAGGTGAAAGATGCTGTGAGTAGAGGGTGTCTGCACATCGCGCTAAAGCATTTAGGTCTTTACTCTTTCCTTGTAATGACTACTGAATGCTAAACTGTCCAAATATTGTTTCAGTCAACCAGCTGGATTTTTTCTTCTTTATTGTGTGTGTGTGTGTGTGTCGAGGACAGGCACATATATAAGGACAGACTTGTTAGCATAATAGTGTAAAGATGCTGGCTAATTCCTCATCAGGGATGGCTGGGCAGACTTCTGGATGCTGCAGGCTCAGCCTGTTCCTCCTAGATGTTTGGCTAGACTGTTAATTAGAGCTATAGTGGGTTGTGCTGATCCTTGCCTGTACCTCATCTATTGCTTCTCCGTCTTTTAATGAGTTTGTCTTCTACCTAGAAATCTTGCAAACAACTTAGAGGGGGGAAAAAGAAAATAAAATCTGCATCTGCATTAATTATCTCCTTCATTAGCTAACTGTCCTACCCATCAAACTTAAATGCCTAGTTACCTGAAGGTTTGTGGTGTTTTAAACTGATGTGAGGGCAGTCATTGTAAATGCTAAAGACATAAAGCTCAGATCTGGCAGTTTATTTTCTCTCATTTATGTTGTTTTTTTTTTTTAAAAAAAAAAAGCTGTATTGGGAGTGTGAGGGATGGATTTCTGTAGAAGCCAGCATAAAACTTGGTATGAGTCAGAGGAAAATTGAGCCATGTTATAACTGTCTAAGCAGCAAATATAACCTGGGGGGAAAAAATCATTTTGAAGTGATTATTACAAAGATTCAAATAGATTTGAAGAAATGTGATTAAAAACCTTTGAGAGAAGATGATATGCTCTGTACCTGGGCAGTGAAACAAAGCTAGGAATCTGTCAGTGTCTCACAGGGAGATGAATCACAAATCTCTGCACTGGACTTCACTTTTACAAATGCAAGGTTATAAAGAAATACCATGTACCATGAAAGGGTATGGGGTGCCTTTCCTTTGCTTCCCTCCCTACCTTGCACACCCACTTGTGTGAGGTTCACAAGTGAGCATAAAAAATTACAAACTGGAATTAATAAATTTCACAGTTTTCAGGAAATATGCATTGCCAAAGTTACCTTTGACCTAGAGGAACCCTGCAGACCGAATCCAGGTCCTGGCTGAGCCTGGGCACTGAGGTGGTACCAGCGTGGGCTTTGGCAGCCATCCTGAGAGCTGCTCGGGGCTGCAGGTCCATTCAGGCTTTCCAGGAGCACATCCAGGTGGATATACATGCTCAGAGCTAAAGCCTTGCTCTGAGCTTTTGCCGAATACAGTTTTCTTTTCAGATTGTTCTGTATGTAGCTAGACAATGTTTCTTGCAGTTGC